ACATGTGTGTGTGTGTGTGTGTGTGTGTGTGTGTGTGTGTGAATGAGCTAATAGCATAAAGTGCTTTGAGTGTGCTTCCTTACACAGAAAAGCACTATATAAGTGTATAGCAGAAATCTCCCAGTAACTGTGTATTTCTGCTTCTGTATGGAAAACTACACACTGATACACTGTATATTATAGAATAACCTAAGAACACTTCTGACACTATCCACACATTCTACATCCCCACCTACCCTTCAAGCATGCGTGCACACAAAGACAAGAAGTCTTCCTAAGTTACTCTCACACTCTTCACAAAATCTTCTTTTCCTACTTATTTCCTGTCAGTCCCCCTAGACTCATACTCAACCCCACCCCCCTCTTTTCCTCCGAGGTTTTACCTGTTCCATTGTTTGAGGGCGACTGCTGTTTTCGGGGAGGCTTTGGCGGGGAGTCCTCCAGCCTGTGGGAGGAGGGAGACACAAAAGGGAGGCATGGGGGGAGGGAGAGAGAGAGAGAGAAAAGGGGGAAGATTTGTCAAGTGTTAGTCTCACTTCTCCATGTCAGAGCTGCGGTCCCACAGCAGACATGTCTCAGGAAGTTCACGTGGAGACCTGCTGCACTGGATAAATCAACAACTGTCAAAAGAGTCAGAGAGACACATACAGAGACAAACACAGAATAATCAGAAGCTATTTCAGTCTCAATCTGCCACTGTGAAGTCTTTGTGAACTTTGAACCGACATATCAGAGAGCACTCTCTACCACTGTGTGTAAAACACCAAAGAAGAAAATATATTTTGTAAGAATGGTGTTCATCCCTTTAGTGGATTTCCAGCCACAGAGCACTGAAGCTGATGGCTTGTGGTGGCCTTGGTTTGTCCTTTAATGTTTCACCCATCTGAATCTAAAGTCTTCTAATTTTGTTCATCAATCAACTGTACTGCCTCGCTTAAGGGCATGTGGATATTAATGGCAGAAGAAATGTGTACTGTCTGCCATCCTCACATGCATATCTCCAGCTGTATACTGCTAGCAACGGATTAACTGAGGAGGCCATAGAACAGGTCATGGTACTTTGGTTCACCTCTTACAAAACCCTGAACTGTCTCAGATAATCTTGGGGCTGTGTTTCTCTGCTGGAAACTTGGAGAGCACCAGTGGAATTTCCCCACTGGCAGGCACAGACACATCATTTGATCACACACACACACACACGCACACAGAGGGTATATGCCCTAGGTTTAAGAATGGCTCGGCTGGTGCCAAGAAACACAGGCATTTTCTGACACCAGAGTAGCTACTACAGTGTGTCACTGCATGCACCTGGCGACACAGATCAGACCATGACTCATTCTTGATTTCTCTTTATTTTCATCTCCCTCAAAACACACCTCCTTGTGGAATTCCCCACCTACCAAGCTGCAGTGGCTTCTATTTATAAAACAGCTCTTGTGTAACACAGAGTGACACACACACACACACACCATCTGACTCGTCCGACGATCAACAAAGTGCAGTGTCACCATGTCTTGTCCTCATCTCCTCTTTCCCACATCACTGGCTCTGACTCTCCTCTGCCTTCCTGTCTTACCTAGACTTGAGCACCTCATTCATCTTCTGCTCCAGGTCTATCCTCTTGCTTCGCTCTTTCTCCAGCTCCTGCCGTAGTGAGTCCACATTGGTCTCTTCCCGCAGCTTCCTCAGCTCCTCCTCTGGAAAACACAACACAAAGACTGGGAGATCAGAATCTCAAATTTTGATGTGAAACAGAGATACACCAATACCGATACCAGTATTAGGTATCATGCCTGGTACCATCCCATAGTACTTACTATATACTCGTACAAGTAAAAGTCACTCTGATAGAATGTACCGATACTATTTATTGGCAGCATTACATTAACCTCATACTGGCCGAGCTGGTCAGCAGGTGGTGGAGAAGAAATTTCAGTGGTGCACTGATATTTTAAGATAACTGATGACAAAAGTAGAGCCAACTGTGAGTTTTGCTTCTCTGCTCTGTCAGGGAGGTAGGGGCGCCAAAAGACACACAGACATAGCGCACTGGTGCTCATTATGCTGACTGTGATGAATTGTTAAGAACAAGAAAAAAACAAATGCTCATTTTATGTAGCTAACAGCTGAGTCTGACGTATAAAAATCAGTTGAATCCTTGTGGACTTGGAGGCTGGAGCAGCTCCTCTATAGCAGTGCAGGTATGCATCCAGCAGAGAGGACAGGATGAAGCCATAGACAGCAGGCAGTTTAAAGTAAGAACATGTATCCTTGTTTAATTAAATGTTTAAATTGGTGACTGTGATAATATGCCCCCCAAAACATGCCATTTTGGGCGGGGATTGTGAAATAATTTTGTCCTAACAGAGGGTTGCACTCCTACAAAGGTTAAAAACCATGGTATTACAGCATGTTATGTAATAGGCTACAGACCTTCAGCAGTTACACTTTATATTCAATAGGAATGGTGGCAGTGCTGTGTTTATCACAAGGTTTTCAATTTTACACACTTGGGGTGTGCACGCTGGCCATACTATAATTGTTTAGGCAATGTTCAACGTGCCTAAATGGTTGCTTATTATTTTGTTATAATGAGAAGCCTTTCTCATTATAACAAGATACTTTTCACGTTTTTATGAGATACACTCATGTAAAAATGTGATGCTTCATGTTATTACGACATACTGTTGTTATACTCCTTATAACACAGACTACTGTATTTTCTCATAATAAGCTTAAAGTATGTGTAGCGCACACACTCACTTTGAACAGTACACTCGTTCACTTCAGCAGCCTCTCTCTCTCATCAACACCTCTCATTTCAACTTTCTACAGTTTTGCACCTAGGAGGTGTGCTCCAACAGTACTTGAGAATCACTGATCAATCAGTTACAGTAAATCCATGCACAATAATTAGCCCACAAAATAACACATGAATGCAACTCATGAGCAAATACCATGTCCCAATTATGTTTTAGGCATTACTGACAAGAGTCAGTGTGTGGCTGCTGTTACCTACACCAAGCTGCGCAGAGCTTACATTGAGTAGAAATGATATTATCCACTTTAGGGATGTATGATATCATATTAAATCGGGCCATACATTTGAAACTAGATACTATATGTTGAACATGCGATGAACCCCTGATGCAGTGGCCTAATACCTGAGCAAAGATATGCACGGTGCTTACACTGCAGGCTCCCCTGCTCATATATGGTCACAAGAAAAAGTAGTAGCACTGTTTGCATTATTCTGTTTTTTTTTTTGCATAAATTGGTCATGAAATGTGATCTGATCTTCTCCAAATTCACATATATCAACAAAGCTGTTAAAGCACAAAATCATGATCTTTCATGTCTTTATTGAACACACCCATTAAACATAAAGAGTGATGGTGGAAAGTAATGGCAACAGTGTTTTAATATCTGGTTTAACTATCTTTGGCAGCAATAACCTCAAGCAAGTGCTTCCTGTAGCTGTGTATTAGACCTGCACCACATTCAAGAGGAATTTCGGATCATTCTTCCATATAGAACTGCATCAGCTCAGCCATATTCTTGGGATGTCTGGTGTGAACAGCTCTCTTGATGTCATTCCACAGCATCTCTACTGGGTTGAGGTCTGGGCTCTGACTGGGCCACTCCAAAAGGTGGATTTTGTGTCTCCGAAGCCATTCTGTAGTAGATTTACCTCGATTTTTAGGGTCATTATCCTGCTACATTGCCCAGCTTGCTCTAAGTTTTGGCCTGCGAGCAGCTGCCCTAATATTACCCTGTAGTTTACCTTGATAAGCTTGGGAATTCATTTTCCTCTCCACAATGGCAAATGGTCAAGGTCCAGAGGCAGCAAAGCAGCCCCAAATCATCATGCTCCCTCCACTGTACTTAACTGTTGGGGTGATGTTTGGTGAAGATCAGATCCAATTTCATGACCAATTTACGCAAAAAAATGAGAAAATTGCAAACTGTGCCATTGCTTTTTCTTGAACTGGAAGTATACAACTTTCCACCATTAACTAGAGTGTTCGCACAGGCCAACCTGCCTTTGCCCCATGTGGGTTAAATATACTGTAGCTTATAGATTTGCAATAACACTCAATCACGGAAATCCCTGTTTCTTGATTTTTCAAATCAGAATGAGGTTTATGGTCATTATATTATTAAATTTGTAGTTGTAACATTTCAGTCTACTTAATGTTTTTGCCAGATTTCATGTTCTGTTGGTACTTTGAAGTTTTCCATCTTGTAACATCAAACTTCCAGTAGGTTGGCCAGTGCATAAAATACAGAAAGTTAAGCAACAGTTTGAGGAGTAGGGGCGAGGGGTCAAAACATTTTGTAACTTCATCCATAAATTCAAAGATATCACCTTATTGGCTGAAGAAGCATAAAATAGCTACAATATAGGACACCCCTGCAGTGAATCAAAGCCATGACAGCAGCGCATGGAATTAGTTTACCTGCTCTCAGAAATGCCTGTAACATGATGATGATCAGGATGTGTGCCAAAAATCTGCAAGCACTCATTTATGAAAATTTGTAAACAATCTCACCTCTATTACACAAACTTGTGTTATATTTTATTTACTCACAATCAAAAGGTACATTGTTTCCTAAGTTTTTTTATGGTCATTGTAATTTTTGTAGTATAGAGTGCATTATTATTAAGTACTTGTATCAGTATTTGGTATCGGTGAGTACTCAAATGTAAGTACTTGTACTTGGTCTGAAAAAAGTGGTATCAGGTCAAAAATATATTGATATTGGCAAGGGCTAGATATATTTTGGACGGGAAGCACTACGCATTTTGTATTCTTCATTGATTTTACCATACTTAGAGTATGGCGTTGAAAACTGGGGAAATACATACAAAAGCTCACTTCAACCATTGTATATATTACAAAAAAGAGCGATAAGAATTGTGCATAAGATGGGGTATAGGGATCACACCAATGGAGCTTTCATACAGTCTAAATTGTTAAAATTTTTCGATTTAGTGGGATATAAGACTGCAGTGTTTATGTATAAAGCCAGGAACAATTTATTACCTGGTGGAATTCAAAAACTATTTAATGAAAGGGAAGGGGGATACAATTTAAGGGGACAGTTAAATTTAAAAATTCATGCTATACGTACAACCAAAAAAAGATTTTGTATTTCCATAAGTGGGGTAAAACTATGGAATAATTTAAGTGTGGACATAAAAAATAGTAATAGAATTGATGAGTTTAAACATAAATATAAAGGTATGTGTCAATCAAGATACATGCAAGAACAGGTTTAATGATTAATTAGATGGAACATTGTGGGTGTGGTGTATAAATGTTAACACTTTGTAATAATTCTTT